GGCTGTATTTTTTAAAAAATTAAAAAAAAGAATGAAGGTAGAATAGGGAAGAAGGATGTCAGCCTTGTCTCTGAAGGGGCACTTAGGGAGAGCACACCAAAGGAGAGGACTAGAATCCGGGTCTCCTGACCACTGGGGTTCTTTGTGTGTGTGTGTGTGGGGGGGGGGCGCGTTCCTATATTATCCCCTGTGATTTGTTGGTATAGTCAGGAATAATTTTTGCTTTCTTTTGATTCTAAAGTCTGGGTAACCTATCAGTTTTCTGGTTGGCAATGGAAAAATGAAAGAACCCAACATTTATTGATTGTCTACTAAGTATTAATCACTGGTCTGGATGTTTTTACACCCATGATTTCATTAATTCTCCACAACAGTTCATTTTTTACTATAGATGAGATCCAGAGAGGTTATATAACATAGCTGAGGTCATGCATCTAGTATAAGTGATAGAAACAGATTCAGATCCAAGTTTGGCCCCTAAGTTCATGCATTTTCCATCATAACTGCTTCAATTGAGATACCTAAAGAACCCTTCAAACTGATCACTCAGCATCATGCCTCTGGAGTCTGACCTGGATAGGGATACTATGGGATTCTATGACTGGTCTTTTATATATATATAAAATATATATTTTATTGATTGTTTACAGACAGAAAGGGAGAGAGATAGTTAGAAACATCGATGAGAAAGAAACATCGACCAGCTGCCTCCTGCACATCTCCTACTGGGGATGTACCCGCAACCCAGGTATATGCCCTTGACCGGAATCGAAACACCAATCAGCTGCCTCCTGCACACATCTTACTGAGGATGTGCCCGCAACCAAGGTACATGCCCTTGACCGGAATCGAACCTGGGACCTTTCAGTCCGCTTGCCATGCTCTATCCACTAAGCCAAACTGGTTAGGGCATCTATGACTGGTCTTGATTCCTCACTGTGAACTGGGTTGTACCATGTCCTTTGAGAACTTGTTTCTAGTCTCTAGTGGGTCTGCAGAGTTTCCCATATTAGGCTGAAAACTGAGAGAGGAGACCATGCCTTAGTCATAGATTTACTCTCTATGACTAGCACAGAGAAGTTGCTGAGTGGTATTGTCATTTGCTTGCCAAATGAAGAAACAGAGCCTTCACCACTGAACAGGTAAAATGACACAAAAATAATGTTAACTAAAATTACTTGAGCACAGTTCTCTACTTGAGCATCATTCAAAGAATTTATTTGTCATTGTAACCTTAAGGGATAGACACTGTTAATCTCCCCATTTGCCAGAGAGAAGAAACTGACGCCCACACAGATAAATTCATTTGCCTAAAGCTTCACAAATAGTAAGCTGACTAGATCCAGACAGTCTTACTTCAAAGACACTCCACAGTAAGACTTCACTTAACATCACCAGTTGGTTCTTGGAAACTGCAAATTTAAGTGAAACGACGCAATGAAACCAATTTTACCATAGGCTAATTGATATAAACAAGAATTAAATACCTATGGCATTTTTGGTCGCAAAATCATCACCAAATTTATCAATAAAGACCCAAAACACCTCTAATATTCACCATTGAAATAAATGTGAGCTATACATACATTTAAAAAATATTAATAAAAAGTAACTTCTTTTCCAACCTACCCATTGCATTCAGGGTCACAGGTGGCCAGAGTTGATCTTGGCAGCTCAGGGAACAAGGTGGGAAGCCACCCTGGACAGGACACCTTTCCACTGTAGGACCACTCACACGCAGAGACTCACACTCACTCAGACGGGGACAAGGTAGACATGCTAATTCACCTCACATATCCATCTTTGGGATGTGGGAGGAAACTGAAGTCCCCGAAGAAAATCTACACAGATATAGGAAGAACATGTGAACTCCACACAGATAGTGGCCCTGGCTTGGAATCATTTCTTTTTCTAATCAACTTTATAACTTCATAACAAGATGCCATTGAACAAAGTGATGTTACTCAAGGACCTGCTGTACTACCCTACAGTGCTTCTCCAAAAATGGTTCTCTTACCAATCAGCCAATGAAGTAAGAAGACTTTATTTAAAATGTAGTGTAGGTAATGCCTTTTTCTACACAAGCAGGTAAATATTTAAGAGCAGCAAGAAGCATAAAGCCTGCCCACCCACAGCTTGAGCAAGAAAGACTAACCCACACAGAGTTAAGTAGCAGTAGTAATGAAGTACCATTTGCAAAACAACCCACATACCACAAGCTAAGATACACATGTTATGTTTTATTGTCCCCAAAACCCTGTCAGGTAGGTAATTATTTTAGCTAGGGTGATGGTTCTCAAACTTGAGTATGCATTAGAAACACCCGAAAAGCTTGTTAAAATAGAGATAGGCAAATCTCACCTCCAGCGAGTGTGATTCAGTAGGTGTGCAATGGGGCTCGGAATGTGCATTTCTGACAAGCTCCCCAGGTGCTGCTGATGCAGTTGGCCCTGGGATCACACTTTGAGAACATTGACTCAGAAAAAAATCTGAGGTTCAGACATACTGGTACTGAATAATTTACTGAATGTCTCACAGGTACTAAAGGGACAAGCTAAGTGTTGCTTAGTCAGGTGAGTTGCTATAAGATGAAGTGTCAAACACATGTTTAAACAAGAAACGCCTGGGACACTGTAAAGGGACAACACATGATAAGTATTATTGTGCCTTGGGAGAGGAGTGGAGAAAGATAGGGAAACACTGAGTTTCTAGACTACACTGTCAAGATCCCTAAGTGCTCTCTTGGTCTCTGCATGCCTTGAGTTTATTGGACGATAAGAACACTGAAGGTTGGGACCTACAGGAGGAAAGGACTACAGCAGAGAGACTAAGCAGGGTGTGTGGGAGGAATAAGCTCCGTTGGTTAAGGGTTCTGTCCTTGGAGTCAGTTGGCCTGGGTTCAAATTTAGTATCTTCCATTCTCTAGCTGTGTTAGGGTGGCTTAGGAACTCTCTCTCTCTCTCACTCTCTCTCTCTCTCT